CCCCCCAGGCAAATGCATATTCTGTTCGCTACCAATATAAACTATGCTGCTTACAGAAAACCACATAACTTGGATCGATTCTGCTTTGGGCTTTCTGAATATCTGTATCTAGCCCATATGACCCACCATTGTCCCTGGCTAGCAAATAAATGAACTAGCCCTGCCAGCCCACAGAGGATATACATAGGCAGGGGCATTCAGTTATGCAGCAGTTTTCATAATGATATTTTTCCTAATGTCAGCTAGAATTCATAAATTCTCCCAAGAGATTTCCCAAATTCTCACAATGGATACATATGGAATATGCATGTACATGTCTAAACTTCTATTTATATATAACAAAATGAGAGAAAAAGCAACTGAGTAAAAAGTATATGAAAAATAGGAATGACAAACTAGGTACTCTTAAAATTACAAAAGTAGTTTGGGAGATTAGCGGGCAGATAAGAAAAAAGGAGGGAGAAATGAAGAATTAATGGCAGGAGAAATGAGTGTCTGATTAAGTTTAGCTTCCACTAAATTAATTTACACAGTTTAAACCCTAAATTTCCTTGCATTATTATCTATCTGTCTTAATTGTTCAACATTTCTAAACATCATTCCACAACTGTAGCAGTTCAGTTGAGAGTTTGGGAACATACTTTATCACTTGTCCTATTAGCACGCATAATATATTGAATTTAGAAAGGCCTGAACAGCTCTGCTCTATATTATAATCCAGCATTCTTCAGGTGGAAAGCTAGAGGTTACTTTTGCTCTGAAAGCTGAGTCAGCTCTTTGCTCAGAGCAAAGGACTTCTATAAAGTATGGAGAATTCTGCTAGGAAATATTTAATCTGGGACCACCTAATTCTGCTGAAGTAGGGACTTTTAGAGGACATGGCTCAGAGGAGAACACAGACGTTACAGCTCTTCCAAATTGCAGACATGTTTAGATTCCACATAGACAATTAGTTTCACAAAACCAAAGTAACCTATTTATGACAAGTCACCTTGGTGCCAGACTACCAAAATCACAGAATCATAGAATCAGTGAGTTGGAAGGGACCTAGACAGATGATCTAGTCTGACCCCCTGCCATGGGCAGGAATGAGCACTGGGGGTGGGAGGGGTCATAAGACCCCATCCAGGTGCCTATCCAGTCTCCTCCTGAAGATCTCCAGGGAAAGTGAGAGCACCACCTCTCTGGGCAGCCTATTCCAGGCTCTGGCCACCCTTACAGTGAAGTAGTTCTTCCTAATATCTAACCTAAACCTATCCTCCCTCAGCTTGTGGCCATTGTTCCTGGTGACTCCAAGGGGGGCCCTAGTGAAAAGCCTTTCCCCGAGTCCCTGCTGGTGGCCCCTGATAAAGTTGTAGGCAGCCACAAGATCCCCCCTCAGTCTCCTCTTGCAGAGACTGAAGAGATTCAGGTCCCTCAGCCTCTCCTCATAGGGCTGGCTACAGAGGCCCTCAACCATACAAGTGGCCCTCCTCTGGACCCTCCCCAGAAAGGCAAAAAATACATAACCTTGACAATGAACTTGTACTATAAGCTTGTTCAGTGTGCAAGAAACAACTGTTGGAAATCTTTTGGAATACTTTAATCCACCCCACTGTAATAGTGTAGTCTTGTCCCCTTTACTAACTCTTGAAGGGCACAATTCTGAACAAGACATCTTGCATCAAGAGTTGTAGGCATGTCAGAGGAGCAGAAATTTCCTCTAAATATCATCTTCCCTTTTGAAAAACCTCAACTGATGATACTGCAGCAGACTACTTTGGCCAGTTATCCCATTATCTCATTGATCTCATACTCAGAGCCTCATTCCTTGTTCATTTTTTTGAGCATCCAAACTGGCTTAATGGGGTTGAAATTGACTTACATTGGTATGTCTGAGTATATTGCTTTTTGTGAGCTGAGAATCAGATCCTGTTTGATCACTGTGAGTTTGTGGGGATGGATCCAGAGGGGGTGCAATGACATGGTCACCGGCCCCCCCAACCCTTTTGGACCACAATGTGGGAGCAGCATCTGTGGACTTAAAAAAAATTAAGGGAATTCCACATCCTCTTTTCCCTTCAGTGCTCAGTAACATGCCTTCTCCCTTCCTATTCCCCTTCTCTTCTGCTTGCCACTTCCACTGTCCCCAGTGTCTCCAGCAACTCCAGGGGATGGGGGGAACTCCAGATCCACTCCTGCCCCATTCCAGCAGGGCTGAATGGGGTCCAGGCTCACCCAGGAACAGCAGTAGCCACAGTGGCAGGAAGGCTACTTGGTGTTCCCTGCCATCTCAGGAGCAAGCTCAGGGAGGAGGAACCTGTCTGATGCTGCCACTGATGGTATCCTTGGCTAAGCCCAGTTCCCAGTGCAGCCCAACTGAAGTGGGCAGGAGCAGGATTGGAACTCTCCGAGCCACCCAAGTCAGCCAGAAAGGGTAACAGTAGGTTCAAGGGAGAGGGCGAATGGGATGAGAAGGAGGGGATATGTAGCTGAGCACAGAAGGGAAAGTGGGGAAGCTGAGTGCTAAACACCAAGGGGAGAGATTCTTATCTGATTTGCAGACTTAAGAAAGGTCCCTGGTTTCTGCTCTTGCAGTGTGGTTTACTGTCTCAGTTGGGGAGAAGCTGGGAGTGGGGATACAGCCACCTCTGTAATACCAGTCACTGCTCTCACCCCTCCCTTTACATAACCCTGAGGACACCTATGTGGGTTTGTGTCATTTTCCCTATCATTTATTCCAGTTTTTAGAAAGGTAGGAATGATTTCTTTTCATTAGTATTTGTGGTTAGGAAGGATTCCATCTAAAGTACCTGATCACCTGAATGCAGACATCTGAAAGTCCCCATTTTCTCTCTCACATGTTTCTTGATAACTGAGGGTGGGAAGAAAGTAAGATGACACTCATCAAACATTAATACCTGCAACCTATTATGGCTTCTACCTGATTCTTTTCTGTCTCCTGAAATATTTTTGGAGCACAAGTCTCAGGCTTTTTAGAGTACCAAACTCTTTGTTTCTTTCATACAAAACAGTGCCTACCAGATTCATCCATGTCTTGTAATGGACCTTCATAACAGGTAAATTTAGTTCCATGTAAACTTACTCCTGCTGTTTCACTGGTGCTGCTATGAGTGTGGTTAAGATTTTGACCTTCCTCTTCAGATAAAATTTACCAGCTTGCAGCTACCTAGGATGCAGTGTCAGGACTCAGGTTCTAAGAAGACTTTTCCCACCTCTCAGGCTTTGTTTACCATTCATTTGAGTGTTGTAATGGAAGTTGTATATAAATACAGAGAAAAGAATAGACCTTGAAATTTAGTTGCTTAGCTGATCAAAAGCTACTTTTACTGGGGAAAAGACCCTGTGAATAGACAGAAATTGAATTAGGAATGCTTAAGGGATAGAACCTGTTTGTGGTTTTCTAAACTGTTGTTTTTACGTGACTTGATTTATCTGGATCACTGAGAGAATTGGGCCTAATTGGCTAAATCTGAATTTGATTACTGGTAAAAATAAAGCAATATATATTCACTATAGATTTGAACTGACCTCTTTTCCCTCTAAATCCTATTGCTTCTTCCATCTTCTCTTTCCCATGAAAAATTAAAATTAATTTCATTCGCCCTTAAAGCAGAACTGTTCAGCCACAGATATCAAAGTATTTGGCAAAGGAGGATGCTGTCCTATAACAGTGGCCATAGGCTTTGACACTATGGGTGCTCTGGGGCTCAAGCACCAAACAAATAAACAAATGGGTGCTCAGCACCCATGAGCACTGCATGTGGACATTAAAAAAAACAACAAACAAACCAAAACACACTTTAGTGGAAGAAGAAGCACGCTACTTCAACCTGGCTCTGCAAGGTGTGTAAAGATTGGGTGTTCCAGCAGGGCTTTTTGGTGCTTTTAGCTTAAGTTAATTCAGTCAGTTATTAGATAAAAGCACAAAAAAGTCCCACTAAAGCACCTGATCTTTACAGACACTACAGAGCTGAGTTGAAGTAACATGCTTGCCTCTTCTGGCCATTCATGGGGCTTGGCACAGGAACATGCCAAGTTTAAAGTAAAGCCCTGTTTTTAGGGTTTTTTTAGCACCCACCAGCAAAAAACAAAGTCAGCACCTATGACAATGATTTTCAACCTGTGGTCCACAGACCACAGACTACATCTGAGGGATCTGCAAAAGATGATTATGATCAATCAAATGTATGTGAATAGCCACATTTACAATTACAAAGGGGTCTGCACCTCCATTCAAAATGTTGCAGGGGTCTGCAAACGAAAAGGTTGAAAACCAATGGTCCATAATTAATAATTTACTGTTAGTGTAACTGAGGCATAGAAAAATTAAGTGACTTCCTTAATGTGACATGGTATGTCAGTGACAGAGTTAGGAATTTAGTTTATCTGAATGCAAAATCTGTTCAATCTGTTAAGTCAGAAGAGGTATTTTCCCCCAGTCCTAGATGCTTCATCATACAATTATTAATGTGGAGACTGAATTTGAATGGCAGAGGGGTTAGGAGAAATCACTTCATTAGTATTATTATTATTACTATTATTATTGTTAGTAAGGGGTTGAGGGAGCTGGGAACTACCCAATACCTGGAAAATACAAAAAGTTAGCATAAGTATCATGTACAAAATTTCACTGGGGAAAAGAATAAGTATGTTGTATTTAGATATCTTGAGCTTCGTAACACCTTTTGAAGAATATCATGGGTACCATTGAGAAACTTTGAGAACATTAATTTAAATGGCAGAACCCTCCATTCCACCTACCCTCTGTTAGTTACATAGATATTGTTCCCATTTTACATAGGATAAACTGAGGCATAGTGTTAAACTGATTTACCAGTGGTCAGATCAGCCCAATTCTGCTTTCAGGCAGAGGTTGAGTGAATAGATCTTGTGCCAGGGAGGAAGCAGTGTTGCTGTACCTCAGCTACTTGCAATGAGAGAACACAAGAGAGCATATGCTAATCCATACATACCATCTGTGTCTACTGAATCCTCATATGCATTAAGAGGTAGGTAACTTTAGGAAGGAGAACACTTTGTTATGAAACAAGTCTGTGGACTCCCTTCAGAAATTTTCTCGAGGCAGCTCAGGTCCTTGTGACATGGTAATTTTGGGCAGCTCCTGGAATTCCTAACTCGTGGATTGTCTGCACTTAACACCTTAAAGGGTTCAGACAGAAGTAACAATTTTTGCCCAATCTGACCACAGAAAGCAGTCTGATTAGCATTTGTACAGCTCACAGCATAAGTTGTTACAAGGCCCTCAGTATACTTGTCTCCACTATGTTTGTGGACTCTCACAATCATAGAGGAAGAATGTGAAAGATTTGCTGCCTGCCATGGAAAAGAAATGACATTTTAGAGGTCCAGGAAATAACTTATATGGTTTAGTGACTGGACTTCTGTATTTTGGGAACCATTTCACTTATTTCCATATCATGTCTTGATCAGGAAGAATATTCTTGACTGGAATGGTGATAGGTTATTTTGGTATAGATTAACACCTGTGTATAAAATTTTACAAAATATTGCTGCTCCTGTGCTGACTAGTAGTACACTTCAGGTCAATTCTCCATGTGAGGAAAAATCAGCAATGCAGAATTTGTGTGTTATGATTGTGGCTGACAGACTTTCTGTACCAGTTCTTTAACAGATGTGCTCAAAGAATGATCTTGGCCAAAACACCCATGCCCCAGTTCTGGGGCGGGGGGCGCAGCTCTGAGCCAAAGATAACTCTAGTTAGAAAACTGAAGGCAATGGTCAAACCCTGCTGCTGACCACAGCTGCCCCAAACAGACATTCCATGGCAGAACTAACCATGAGGCACTTCTTCAAAACCTGAACACTACCTACACCCTAGGGGTATATCTGCAGCCATCAGTGTGACTGTACTTAATCTCGACATACTCAAGTCAGTTTAATTTCTAGTAGAAATCTAGCTATGGTCTCACAGATTTTAGTACAGGAGATACACTCAAATATTTGCTTTGCTTCTTGGATGGATAGTTCCACTTCTGCTGAACTCCATACCAGTGCAGTACATGAACTAGATAGTTTAACTATCTGGGGTACACTTATGTTATATTATAGTCCCAGCCCATCCGGTACCTCCATTCTACAACAATATTCTATTTAGGAAGGCATTTGGTGAGAAAAATTCTATTATACTTTTTTAAATTGGCATCTAGGGAACTGTTTGTCATTCCCCAGATCCCACTGGCTCTTGTTCTCTGTATTGTATCAAAAGAAGTAGAAAAGCAATTGCTGTTATTTCATAATCAAACAATAGAAAATTTTTTTCTCTCATGGAGGTTGCCTCTTTTGTTGTTCACACCTGCAGCGTTTTACTTCGAGAAAATTCTACAATGGGAACTGATATAAAGGAAAGGCATTTTGTCTCCTGTCTCCCAGGCCAGCTTTTTCCACTGTGACATTCCATCCTTCCAGTCAGTGGGTAAATTTCATAAGAAAGAGGAATTCTGGAACTTCTTCCTCCATCTCACAGTTCAACAGCTGCTCCTGAAAGATAAGCTGTAGAATTGGCATGGGTTATAGTTTTTAGAAAAGCTTGTTGTCAGGCATACTGTGGTCATTCAGCTGGTTCCTCATGCCACTCGTCTTGAACAGGCTTCCTCAGCTCAGAAACAGTCCTTGGCAATTCAATATTACTCTTTCCACTATTGTCTTTTCAGCCGTTCAGTGTTCTTTAATAATGGGATGATTTTAATGTTGATGGTATTAATGTTATGTTATGTTTAAGATACCAGGAATGCGGTCCATTTAACTGGGTGTAGAACAAAAGCCCCTGCCAGAAGATACCCATTGGGGTACAGTTGGAAGAATTATTTGTAGGGAGTTATTTTTTCCAATAAATTTTTCTGTCTATCTATTTGTTTCTTGTCCACAAGTAAACTAGAATTCTGTTGTCTTTGTGTGGGAGTCAGAGATATTTAATGAGTAATTACTTGTGACTGCTTTCTTTTATAAATTCAGAATTTTATTTCCATAAATACTTTCATGCATTTTTTCTTGTCAGCAGTGCCCCAAGTAGATCTATTCATGATAGAGCACAAAAGGGCATGGAACCACAGTCAAAGGGAATTTACTTAAAAATTGGAAAATTCAAAGAGACTTCCTATCCAAATGTTCATGGGTGCTTGTACATGTGACACTATTAAAATAATGAAATGTCACTTTCTGTGACTTAATGGCATCACAGTGTACATGGGCAAGACTTTTGGGGGTTCTAAATGACTTTGCATTATTGCAAACTAAATTAAATCCAGATATAGTTGAGTTTACAATGTTGCAAATTGTAACAATACAGCTGTTGATTAGCCCTCCAGCCATGGGAGAGGTGGGCAGGCTCCACAAAAAAAAAGGATCAGGCCCCTTGCCACTTCTGACTTCAGGAGGCACCTGCTGAAGGCAGAACCGGTGAGGGGCCTGATCCTTTTTTTTT